TTATTTTGTCTGTCTGTCTATCTGTTTGTCCGTCCTTCTGTCCGTCCGTCCGTCTGTCCGTCTGTCCGCCCGTATGTCTGTTCGTCTGTCTGTCTCTCTCTCTCTCTCTCTCTCTCTCTCTCTCTCCTTCCCTGCCCACCCCTCCGCACTGTCTACCTGTCCATTACGTTCCTGTACCTTCTCCTAACTCTTTCTATCTCTTTTTGCTCTTGTTCTTATCCTCTACCTCGCTCACAATGTCCTCCTGACATATCTGACCGCTTGCCTTCGTTCTTCTGTCATTCACAGGAAGCGCATTGGGCAGAACAGTATACATGGGCTTTATTCAAGGCGTTATCCCACATGCTGTGTATCGGATACGGCCGATTCCCACCCCAGAACATGTCGGATACCTGGCTCACCATCCTGAGCATGCTCAGTGGCGCGACCTGTTACGCACTGTTCCTGGCTCACACCACCACGCTCATACAGTCCTTTGACACCTCGAGACGCCTGTACAATGAAAAGGTGAGACGATTAGAAATAAATTATGATTGTACTATGTTAGGCTCAAATAACACTTACGTTCACCTACAACGAGGCAGAGCACTATTTTTTTTTCTTCTTTGTTTTTGCGAATGGGCTTGTATCGTTGCTTGAAATAAGCTAAAAACGTTTGCCAGAAGAGAATGGATAATTTCTGGCTTTTAAACAGTCTTCGTAGAATACACGTGGAATATGAACTTACAGTGAAAGAGAGAATAACAGGATAGTCTTTTTGTCTCCCATTGCTTCTGTCTTTTTTATTTTTTGTGAAAAGAGAATATAAGGGTTGGGGTATATGTTGGGGGGGGGGGCGTTGAGGGGAAAGAAAAGATTTAGAATCCATGAAAGGAGAAGTGCGGCCGTTTCCACCCTGCCTCGATTGTAAATTAGTGTTCCACTGTGGTTGGGAAGGGAAGGTGAGGAGGGGGGGGGGGATTGAAAGTAAAACCACAGACAAACGTGACTCGGAAAAAGGGGGATAAATTACTTTGAGTTGTGTCCTTCAACTACGCGCAAAGGTGGAAAATGAACAAAGAAAAAAACAACTCTCAGTAGGACTTACACATTTGTATTTCTCATTGGCCATATGGTATTGTGTTTTATTAGGTTTTTACTATTCATATGTTTTTTGTTTGCTTTTTGTTTTTTGTTAGGGGTTTTTATTGGGGGGGGGGATGTTTTTTATTTTAAATTTGCAATCTTCTGCATTCTGAATCGTTGATTTCGATGCTAAATTTGACTGTTCCTCGACGAGGATCCTGCAAATAGAGGAAGATAATAAAATCCACAAGATAATTATGAATACATGTCTTCAGCGGTTTTTGGAGTCCTGTTATCTTTACAGTGACTGCCGTATTCATGTACGACAACTGAAGATATAAGGACACTGATAACCATAAAGTAAATGGGGGGAAAAACATAATATATTTTACAGCAAAGAAGTACATTGGGTTACCACGGGGGGGGGGGGGGAGAGTCTGGAGAGTGCATCAAGAAAAAAGTAAAAGGGTCAGAGATCGAAAGTTAAGTCCTCATTTGGGATAGACCAATTATTTCTCGTTTTGCGTATATTACGGAAATGTCTCATTTATTACCTTGAAATGCTTAAACAATTAATAGTTTCTCTGTCAAAGTCTGACAATGATCGATGCATCTACAGAGGAGAATTTGTCCCAGGCAAAATAGAAGAAATAAGGCTTAAGATGGCTTGTGGCTTTTGATTTGCCAATGAGACAAATAAAATTCTTTGCAGAGAAGAGTCAGCCATATTATTTTAAGCATTTATACAAATATGCTTCTCATTTCCACTTATGGGTGGTATGCGCAGCTTGTGGGCTTCTCTCTTGGCTTTAACTTGATGATAGTAACGTGTAATACCAGTGGTCGTTGAGGGGAATCATCTGTGTAATCGAGATGATGGATACGAGTGAGACATGTCAACTGAAAGGTGAAGGTCGTTTCCGCTAATTGTCTCATCGAATTAAAAAAATAATCGCTTTATATGTTATGATTTGCTTTCTCATTTATCCTTCTTCATGATATTATAACCACCCAAAAAAAAGAGGAAGGACAGAGGATTCTGTCAACCTCAATTTCTGGCCATGTTTGAGCTGGTATAATTTACAACCCTCTTTTTACGGAGTGATTTATAGAAAGTTACTGAGTCACTTGCGAACTGGCTATTGATCGAACTTTCGTTCATGGATCTGATGCTGCAATCCCCTTGTCCCAAGCTCATATCAGGCAGTCTGCCCTTCCCCTCCTGGTCTCATCAGGCCAATTGGGAGCAATTTTTGTGTATTATTGAACCCTTTGATTCCTCCACACACACACTGCTCGCTGTCTTCTCATGTCAACAACCTTCTCTTTTATAACCTCTTTATCTACCTCTCTCTCTCTCTCTCTCTAACTCTCTCGCTCTCTATCCCCCCCTCTCTCTCTCTCTCTCTCTCTCTCTCTCTCTCTCTCTCTCTCTCTCTCTCTCTCTCTCTCTCTCTCCAGGGAAAGCTTACTTTCGGAGCCTAGGACATTTGAACAGCTAGCTGACGATATGACTAGTTGTGAGAATGTTCGCAGTCACAATCACAGCCACAATCACAGTCACAATCACAGCCACAATCACAGCCACAATCACAGCCACAATCATAGCCACAATCATTGCCACAATCACAGCCACAATCACAGCCACAATCACAGCCACAATCACAACCAGACACGGAAATGTCTGACTGCTTGACTAGCAGTTACTACACCAGACACCCGTCATGTCAACTATCTCACGTACGACCAGTGACATAGCCAAACACACACACACATACACACATACACACACACACACACACACACACACACA